ATGTCCCACTGCTGCTGTCACCCGCGTTATGAATATGGTGACCTCCCCCTTCTAACGCCTCTTATCGGATCTTATCAACTGATATCACTTCCTGTCACCCACCAATAGTGTTCCCGTCACACCCCTACATCACTTCTTGAAATCAATGTCTCACTGCTACTGGGACCGGCGCTATGAATTTCGTGACACACAGACAGACGCACACACACACGGACAGACATACTTAGCGAAATATAGAGTAGGATAGCTGCAAGCGAAGAACGCCAAAGCGTTGTTTATTGCATGAGAACTGAACCGACCATTGGAGACATTGAAACACAAGGGTAGACATGTTACAATGCAACGTACATTGCGCGAGGTATTGCGCGTGACAATCTCTACACATATGTTACCAATACGTTTACATCCTACAACATGAAACCCAACAACAGCAGCCGTGTGATATGAATGTATCTATAAAAATGAAGTATTGTTCACATTTATGATCCATGACTTGCTGTAATTCACACCTCATCACTATATAAGCATTGCGGTGGAATGTCTCAATCACTTTCTTCAGCCGACTCTCTCTCTCTTCTTCCTCTTCCTCTTCCTCTGCTTCCTCTTCGTCTTCAGCCGTTTCCTCCGGTGCCGGTTCCTCTGCGTCTTCAGCTACGTCCTCCGCCGTAGCTTCCTCTGCGTCGTTAGCCACGTCTTCCGCTTTAGGTTCCTCTGCTACTCGCTGTTGAGACGACTAAAATACAATGATTGGCGATCAGGAAGCAGTTCTGAGGAACTATGTCGCTACAACTGCCGAAGAAAGCTTCCCAAAGGATATTCTACAGCTGCCAAGATTAACCAAAGGAATTGGAATCATTTGTCTAGTTCTGTTCTCTGTCGTGCTGCTGGGTGGTGGTTTTGAATGTTACTCAATGAAGTACTGAGCTCAACGAATAGTAATAAGTTCAGTGATAGGCTGTAGCGAACCAAACTGCTTCGGACTTTGAGCCTCTGAAAATCTTGACTGATTTGTTCTCTACACAGGGTACAGCATCGTGATGTGTGAAATGGCCGTGTCACTACGACCCACCCTCGAAAAAAGATCCTGGTACGACCTTCCCCCCTCCCTTTGGCTCTAACTGTTTGCTGTGGCGAGCAGGGCACATCTTGCGTTGGGCGTTTGGTCGAGTCAGCCCCCCCCCCTAAATGGTGGCATGATACGACACCCCTCACCCTTCGTACAGTTTACTGTTTTTTCGCTTTTCCATTTGCATTTTTAGCGAGTTAGGAATTCTCAGCACTATTTTGCCCTCTCTCAGGTATTACTGGTAAGGGGTGTCTGCTAGTCTACACAGCGCAGAATGTTGCGCCCCTCCGAGCCATCTGAATACTGGAATAAGCACGACTGTGTCCTTTAATTACGTTGGAGCGCACTCGTCAAGACCCGCGAGGTAGAGTGAGGCAGGGTTTTTAGAAGAGCTATGAGTTCCTCAAAGGTAGACAGTTGGGGAAATGAGGAAAGCGGTTGTAAGGAGCCAGATTGGAGTTTTCGAAATGTACTGAAGTGTTCCTGAAGGCTGTCTGGTTTATTAAGGTATTCGGCGTTGGGGATTCGTTTGGGATTTTCGAAATTGGATGCGAGTTTTTCTGGTTAGAACGGTAGTAAGGTTCCCCCAACGCAATTGTTTGCAAACATATGAACAATTCTGAAAAGGAGAAGATTTCCTCTCGCTTAAGAACACTTTACACCTTTTTTGAAGTTTCCGGGGTTTATGAGATAAATACATTGGGGATTTATTGGGGAAAACTCCGAGCAGCGCGAAAAACCCGTTTCCTGTGTAGCATTTCAAAAGGGCGTGTTTGAACACTCGAGAGTGCACATAGAACGGACCCCTTAGTGTAATAGAACTAGGCAGTGGATGGTTTATTGCACATTAGCTTTATCCTTGGCTGCGCCATGCATCAGGATCTCACGCAGAGGTGGTGAGATAGTGCACTGCGTGACGTTTGTCCACGCAAGCAGATGTGTTCATAGGGATCAGGAAGGTCTATGGCCTACCCACGGATTAGTTCATGTTGTACTGCTCAGTTATCTGCGTGCTTACGAACTCATGTCAACTCATTGGCACTTCAGCTAATTTCTTTGATTTTTTTGTAGGGCTGCTGAGTGCTACTGACACCTTTGCGCCGTATGGTGTTGACTGCCCCTATCATTAGGACCCCCCACCTCAACGGTCATAGGGGAATTCCCAACAATGATGTGCCGTGGACGTACATCACACTTCGACTACGGTGACATTCCTCCAAACCCTCTCACTGGAATAGTGATCGTTTCCCCTCCGCTGACTCAGCTTTCGGAGAGCGTAGACGACCAACCTTTGCGCGGACCACCCCTAACTACTAAAGGAAACATGAGCTGACACTAAAAAAACATTTGATTCCAACACCAGTGAGACTTCCGCAGGCTAGATTAGTGATATCTATCCCTTCGAGAACCGTCCTTACAGCAGAAGCTGGTACGATTCCCCCCCACCTGAATGCGCGCTAATCCGGTATGCTTTTAGAACGCGGTATCGATTCTTCAATACTGTTCCAGAATGAGGTCGAATTCAGGCACGTTCCTCGTCTGCCATAACAATTCTCGGCAGAATGGGCGGAATGGTGGGATGCTTACCCAACCTCTTCGATTTTTCTTCATTTTTCCCTCTTTCTTCATTTTTCCCACTTGCGTGCAAGTGCTGTGATGAGATGTACTGTCGCGAAAAAAAAACTTGGAACAAGTCCAAGTCGCGCGCTTTTTAATAATTTCACCTACAATTTTTGAATTGCACATGAAAACTACGTTTGCTCAAATAAAGTCCGTCTAAATGAGCTATTCTGAAAAATAAAGTGGATTGATTAGATTCGTTGCCGGGATAGAATTTCGAAGATTACTACGATGGGGCATGCCGCTGCCACTTTGATATTGGACCGGTTTTCAAAGTTTCTTATGCTTTGGGAAGAATATAGGTTTCTCGAGAGTTGTGAAAAAAAAACTAGGGGAAGAAGGAAGCAAAACTGAGACAGGAGTGATCCTTCTTCCGATGGGCCAAGTGGGACGAGGACATGACAGCTAACCATGTCATCGCGTACGCCGAAAAACATCCAAGCACCTCGAGGGCGGTAAGAAGCAATGAAGGATAAAATCTTCGCCGTTGATCAATCCCTCAGTGGGATGCGGCACGCATTCTACTTCCATTCAGAATCGTAGTGGCTTATTGAATGCGATGTGGCCTATACAATGACTTGCGGTGGCCAGCCGATGCAGAATATACATAGTGTAGTGAAGTTATTGTAACGTTC